TGTGTCCACGACCTGTCACCCAGCTTCAGGGAAGAATTTGAGGTGAAGCAAGCATAGTACAAGGCTGCTGGCCTGGGGAGAGGAGCGAGCAGCCCGCCAGCTATGAGGAAACTAAAAGAGCATGCCTTGTTTAGCCTAGCAAAATGAGAACTGAGAGGAGGTATGACGGCTCTCTATAAATACATCAGAGCAAAAACAGCAACACGAGACAATAATTATATTAGCTAAAAGAAAATGTTGGCACAGGAACTAATGGATGCAAGCTAACCATGAATACATTTAGCCCGGTAATCAGAAGGCGCCTTCCAACTCCCAGACAGTGAGATTCCGGAGCAGCCTCCCAGTGGGAGTTGTTGGGGGAAGAAACTTGATTGCTTTTAAGATAAAGATCAATCAGTTTACAATAGGACTGACTGACAGCGTGCCCACGATAGCAGGAAACAGCCCTGGATGACCCAGAGCATCTTGTCTAGTCCAGTGACCCTGAAAGCATTGCAAATGACCTACTGTGTGAAGGGCTGCAACACATAAAATGCTCTGCAACAACACTTGTACATAGCACTCTGCAATGCAAATGGATGGACAGGGCACCTTTCTTATTCACCTGGCCCCAGCACCAGTTTCTCTTCTTATTGCCTTTGCCATGCCTCCAGACTTTGGGAGACTGGAGCTCTTTCCACGTGTCACCTCTAGCCCGTATCTTTGCATCAGCTCTGCACACTGCAGCCATGAGGTTGGCACTGGCCCCGCTGGCATCCCAAGTTTTGCAGGCAGCATTGTCCTGTTGCCAGCCTCTCTCTGCACCCTCCACTGCCTTTTTGTAGCTTTTCAGGGCACTGCCAGGTCCATAGCCAGGAGCAGAAGCAATATGCATGCTAGGTTCACAGAAACAGCCACAACCCATCTACATTACTGGAAGACAATAGGGGTGTCACTCCAACAGGCTTCAAACAAAGGTCCCCTCAGCATGTTGCCTGAGGCATGTGGCCATTAAGAGGTATTGCTGCATCAGTCACTGAGGTTGTTCTTATGTTAAGGCATGGCTGGCAGGACATTTGAGTTACATCCTTGTGATTTGGGGCCTCCAGGCAGGAATGCAATTGAGGTTAAATACCTGCACACCAATGACAATGCCAGCTCAGTTCAGAAAGCCCATTTTCTCAAAGCCAACCACAATTTCACAACTACACCCACAAGAGAGCTGGCAGCAGAGATCACTCTCACACGCACCAGCATCACGTTCACAACTACTTGCCAGAGCTAGCTGTGTAGCCTTGGAGTTGCAGCAGTCCCCAACAGCTAACATTCAGGTGGCAACACTATTGACATGCCAGTCCGGTCTGCCTTAATTGCAGATCCTGACATCTCTGATTAAGCTTCCATTCTTAATTCTAGCTGATTCTCTGCATTGAAGCTTTTCTCTACGCATATTGCGCAGGTATCGTCCCCTTCCCTTTGGCTAACCACACCATGGAGCATGCTCTTCCTCTCTGGCCTCCACTACTCCAGCTGTAACACACGGTGTTGTTTCCCCACCAGATGCAGGAGGACACTGCCTTTCCACCTCTCCAGCAGCATGTGAATACAGAGGGTGCAGCGCTGGGAGCAGCAGGAGAGGGTGTGCGTCCCAGTCCACTGTGACAGATGCTGTGGCTCCGGGGAATATTCAGGCTGTTGTACTGATGTTACAAATGACTGCATGCACCCTTGTGGCTTTGTTAACGACTATATTCCCAGCTGAAGAGGCAAGAAAAAGAATTCTTCCTGCGGAAACTGAAGACAAATGGGAAGTACTTTAAGTCAATCCCCAACACTGAAACAATGCGGATAACAAATCTTTTGAAGTTTGGCTTCTCCAGGGAAGCAGAGTACAAACAGTACTCGCTAGCCTTGTTTATAAATCAGACTAAGGAAATTATATAGCTGAGGTAATTGGCACCAAATGCCTATTTTACCTGAAGTCCGATGTAGCATTGTAGTCACTTCCTCCATAAGAATATTCATAACCTTTTAAAATGCATTTATTTCTCATAGAACCTACCCAAATGTAACACGCCATGCTTCCTCAAGGGAGGTTTGATAGCTGGTGACATACAAGTGTTGCAGTGCGCACAGAGAAGAGTAGCAGTGGTTGTGCAAAACAAAACAGACTTTTCATGGAGAGGTAGGGATTGGAGGTTTTAATCCAGGTCCCATTCGAGTTAATGCCAAATTGTATTGGAATCTAGGAGAAAAAGAATACAGAAAAACAAGGCAAGAATTAAAAAGGATTTCTGAGTTGCAAACTATAGCAGGGAGAAATGTTAATTGTTCATACAGCTCTGAGTGCTGTATCTAATTTTGTGCATAACTGGGTTGTGTTGTGCATAACTTGTGTTCATCTTACTGTTTCTTCCTTTTATACTCATTGCACCTGAGATTCACTGGGCTAAGTACTAAAAAGGCACGAAACAAAAAGAGGGCTACTGAATCTAGAAACTTGCACCTCAGTGGAGGCGGGAGAAAACAGGCAGACAGGAACAGATGGTGAATATAATGTAGGAAAAGCATGACCATACTGAATGGCTTAATGGGCAGTAGCCCCTAGCACACAACTCATCTCGCATCAAGCATAAGAAAATATATGCACATCCCAAAATGTTCTGCACTGGCAAGTGCCCTTCATACAATATGTATCTCATTGCCAAGGAGACACCTGACTCTTTGAGCAGTTTCTCTCCCTGGCATGTAGACAAAAGAATGCAAGATGCTCTGAGCAAAAGGAACAAGCAATATTCTCACAACAGTTTGAGACTGACTAATGCTGCACTTCAGGTCTTAAAAACTGTGGGGGCTGTTTGCTTTTCCAATTTCCTCACCATGCACCTTTCCGGTTCAGGAGTACAAAGAAAGAATTTTGTCAGGTGTGAAGGATTTGAAGGGGTTGCGACTGTCTTAAATATCCTATCAGCATCCTGACATTTTCCCACCTGACCTGCATAGTCTAGTTGTACATTCTGAAAATCCAGGGTCCCTGGATTTTCTAGAAAAGTGAAAGGCTAAATTGTTTGAAAGTAGTTAGTAAATGCCAGTGGCTTGTGTTGGTTGGTACCCTTTGTTAGCTCTGAAAAAATGGGAATGATTGAAATGAGTTATTCTGAACATTTTTGCACTGATTAAAAGTGCAGTAGGAAGGACTACATGTTTTTGTTACTACTATTGCAATTCCTATTATTATTATTATTATTATTATTACGTGGGAGGAAAGGTGCATGGATAGATTTCACCAAGGGAAATCTGAATGACTGGTGCTTCAGTGGCTTTATATGCAAGTATCCTGCTATATGCTTATTTTTGCAAATTCGCCTGCAAATTCATTCTCTCTGCTCTACACGCAGTCACTATCACATTCTAATATCCCTGAAACATCCAGCGCTGAAAACATTAAGCTGCAGGGGAGCTTGAATCCTTTCTCATTCTAGAGTGCAGAATATTAAACATACCTTCCCTACACATTTACTAGCTATCATTATCAAATACTTGCCATCATCTAACACCAGGGTAATTTAGGCTTTTGATTTTCAAAACGATCTCTATCTCTGCTCCTCCAAGCTGCATCTAGCCTCTCCCAGCCATACTCATGTCATGTTGATTTGCTACCATTCCGTGTCCACCTAACCTGTAGGCCATCAGGTCATAAATTTGAGAGGCACTTGTCCACGGGTGAGGAGCTTAGCTCCTCCTTGGTTATGGGCTGGAGGGCAAGGAGTGATTTCAGAGAGCTGGACCAGCAGCAGGCATGCATGTACATGCATGACAACATCTGAACGGGTCTTAAGCTTATCCTAAGAGCTGGCGGGTTTTACTCTGTTGTTTTACAGCTGCTGCACTTGCAGCATTGATCTGTGTGCATTGCAGTTGGGTAACTTTATTGCTGGCTGTACCCCTCACTTTGGATCACACTATATATTCATGCAGTATAACAGACGTAGTATAACTCTCCTCATCTAACTCCTTTATGTCCTACTATAATGTAAATAGTAATTGTCATCATTATGCACTTGTTAGGGCACAAAGTCACCGGCAAGACCAGAGGGCAAATGTGCAAAAGCTGGGGAGCTGGCATGCCTGTAATGGGACAGGTTTAACCTCAGGCATGGCTAGGAATTGTAGTCTGCAGGCAGCATATGAAGGAGAGCAGCCTCTGACAAAGAGTTATGTGAGTGTCTGCTGGCATCTAAATAAAAAGAAGACTCCTGTATCAGTAGAGATGACTCTCTTTAAGAGTCAGTCGAGGTTTGTTGAATGGGGAACTCTGGAGTGGTCAGAGAGCAGAAAGGTTGTTTCTCAAGCATTTTTAACTCTCTATTGAATTCCTTCCAGGGATGAGCAGGGAATGAGCTCTTTAGAAGCGGAGGATAACTTGCTTTGGCCCTGCCTGCCTGCCACCCTTGGTCAATTGATTAGGAGAGTGTGACAGTAGCATGATGCCTGCTCGGGCAGGAGCCCTGAGCACGCTGCTCAGCCACGCTTATCTCAGCCCAGCTGGTGGTCCCGACTCCATCCGCACCTCTGAAGCACATGGAGCCAGTTCCTCGGGCAACCAGATAGGCTTGGAGGAGACGTGCCCGTTCCCGTGCGTGCATGACTAATCACACAGAAGCTCTCTCAGTAACAGGATTTCACTCTTTACTGTTGATCCCACAGCAGCAGGCACAGCCACCCAAAAACCTAACCCCTGCTGGAAGCACAGCCAGCTCCCTGTCAGGACGTGGTGATGAGAGAGGGGCTCTGGTGTTGTGACACATGCACACTGAGGAAACTGCCACCACGAAGGCAGGGATAAGACGGGCACCTGCCCCTCACCAGGCACCCACCGGGTGCCGGGGGCTGTGACAGCGAGGCTGTGTGTGCCTGAGGAGAACATCACTGCCAACCCCACACCACAACATGGCGCCCATCGACGCTCTCGGCGCTCCCCCCCCCCCCACCCCCCCCATTCCGCCTCCTCCTCCAGTCGGAGGCGCTCGGCGCTCGGCTCCTTCCCCAAAATGGCGGCGGCGGCGGCGGGCGGCGAGGCGGGAAGCGGCGGCGCGGTGTGAGGCGGCCGCGGCGCCTCCCCCCCCGTCTCCCATCCTCGGGGCCCGCTCGGGTGAGAGGGGGACGGGAGGGAGGAGCGGGGCGGCCGAAGGGAGTGGGGAGACCCCGGGGAGCGGCCCGGCTGCGCGGTGGGGGCGATGGAGGGGTCGGTGGTGGGGTTTGCGCCCCCCTCTCTGCCTGCGGGTCGTGAGGGCGTCGCGATGAGGAGAGAGTCGCGATATGGCTGTGGAGGAACCTGGGGGTGCTGTGGGGGGCGTGGGGGGGCTTGGTCCCGCGGCCGTGGGCGGTGAGGAGGGGGGCACGTTGATGAATAAATGTTGATGAATAAACGTGGCAGGAGCCCACGCGAGATTGTAAGCCCACAAGTGGCAAGATCGCTGTTTTCTTTTGTTTTTCTTATAGTAAAGAGCGATGCTGTTGCACACGTCCATCAGTTCTGCCTACAAATCACTGTGCTCGCCACACACGATGTATAGTAGTCAGAATACTGGCTTAAAACGCTTTCTGGTGGATGACTTCCCACAGCCTGAATAATTCACTTGTATTCTTACGGATTTCAGCAGAAACATCTCTGTCAGCTTGAATTAGTTGTCAGTTTGTGCCTTCACGTAAATAAACACCATAAGATGAATGCACTGTACTTTCACAACCAATTATTTATTAGATTGTTGTAAATGCAGAGATGTAGCATAAGTTCCCCGCTCTCTAGGTATTCAAATCTAACTTAAATGTGGCGGGATTACTGTGAGAGCTACAAAGAACAAATTTCATGGTCTCTGTGGTTGATCTTTCACGTGTGTGTGTGTGTGCACACAACCACCACACAAAATCAGTTGGGTGCAGTTGCTTTAATCACATAGGAGAGGAGCTCATCTTTTTCATGCTAATCAGTTCACTGCCTGAAAAACAAAAGCAGTTTACTGAGAGGAGTGCAACTATTCCATACCTATTCCTGCATGCTAGCAACTGTGGAACAGGCTGACTCAAAAGAGACCTGAAATTTGGGAGCTTGCAGGAGCTTGGGTGATGCAGAAGTCCTAGCAAAAAGGAGTGCTTCCTTCCATTTCCATCCCGGGCTGACATTCAGAATGGCTGCAGCAGTAGTGTCAGGAAACATGTCAGAACGGTGTACACCTTCATTATAAGATGTGCAACCCTTTCGTTCAAAACACTTGAAATAATTCTTACATAGCACAGTGATCCCTGCCTGATTTCGTCTTTTCTTCATGTGAGATTCAAGGGTTTGGTACTTTTTGAGTATCCCACTGTTTGGTACAGTGGTTTCTGACAAAACGTGTCTTGGACACAAGTTCAGATGAAGTTTTGTTTGTCATGACATGATTTTGTTTCCATTTTTGTGAATAAATTATTTTAATGATGCGGAGATTTTACAGTGAATAGGTGGTCTTGCTGTATCCTTAAAAACAACAAACAAAAAAAACCCTCCGACTTAATTTAAAAAAAAAAATCTGTCAAACCCAACGGATGAGTATCAGCTGAAGAGGAGGTAGACTTCTTTCCTTTCCCACTGTCTTCCAGAGAATCTTCATTTGTTTCAGAGGAAGTTTCCCATTTTACATTGTGATTCTTCTTTATAGGAGGGTAATTTTCTTTCTCTGTTTCTCAGACCTTTTCCTTTAGATGGGAACGGGGGAAGGAGCCCAGACCTGGCAACACGTCCTGAGGCTCCTGCAGGACCGCCATGGCTTATGATGACTCCAAGAAGAAAGAAGGTATGACTTGCTTCATAATCTCGGAGGGAGTAGCCAAAAAAAGGGTGCCCTCTGCAGTCCTTGCCAGGCCATGGTGTCAGAGAGTGGGAAAGGAAGCTAGTTGCCCGTGGGCCACTGAAGGGTATTGGACCTTAAATTTAATCTGGTCAAGATTTTGCAGGTTCCCAAGTCCTTGACTTCCAGATGCATAGTACTGGGATTAAAGAAATGGGTGGTATTTCCTAATGCAACCACCATGACTGGGAACTCTGCCCCTGCAGCCTTTCATTTCCCTGCTAGGTCAGGGTGAAATGGGAGACCAGGGGGACTTGATGATCTTAGAGGCCTTTTCCAACCTAAGCAATTCTAAGATTCTATACAGTAAGTCGTGATAACATTTCTAAGTCCACTTAGGACTTTAGGAAGAAATCGCCAAGGATTAGAAACAGTATCTTGAAAATTTGTGTTACAGCATTAGAGCACCAAGCCCTGTCCCTGCGGTCAGAGATTACAGAATGTTATCTTTCAGTCCCCTGTGCTTTTTGGGTTATGTGCATCACTCCATGCCAATGTCCACTCCTGTCTTATTTTGTGCATAGTCAACGTGTCTATTGTTCCTTAATGTGGTATTTAATTTCTTAATTTTTTTCCTATTTCACATACATTTTAGAGTTCCTAGACAGTGACCGAAGTGATGTGGAGCTGGCTTCAGTCAGGACACAGCGAGAGAAAAAACGGTCTTACAGGGACCAGCTGCAAGAGGAGGAGAGAACACAGGTCAGGAAGCCTCCAGAGAAAAGGTTTAAGGTGTAAGAAAGTGTGTAAAACTTAAGATTAAATGGGATGGGATGGAATGTTTCAGTGTTCTTTTGTATATAAAAATGCCTGTAGAAAACAACAAGTACAGGTAATCATGTTCAGTAGCTTTGTTGGGGAAATTGAGGGTGTTAGTCCCAATTTCAACCAATTCTGATTTTTCTGGCCTCGGAAAATAGGGTAGTAGGATCTCATTCTAGCCTTAATATGCAACGGTGCAAGTGCTGAGATAGCATAACTGACTTTTTACACAAATAAATGGGATTTTTAAATTTATAGTTGCATTAATAGCCAGCAAAGGATGAGTAAAATGTTAACTGATGCACTGTTGTCTTCCTGATTCTGCATACAGCCTGAAACTTTTGAGAGGTGTGAACTTGCCCTGTTTGTCTCCTTGGGGCCTTAACTCTGAAATCATGTTGCAACAGTTTCAAAACTTTCTTCTTCCAGTTAAAATTTCTGCTGTTAGCTCAAAGGTGACTATCTTGTGATTGGTTTTATTTTATTTTTTTTTAATCTGCTAAAGATGTTCAAGTTTAAAGTGGAAATCTACCATGTAGATGGAATTCTATAGAGGAGCTTCATTTTCAGACCATAAATCAGATAAGAGACAAATAATAATTGGGTGACATGAGTTATTTTGGTCAGTTTTCTGGCCCATCATTTTAATTGTCACTTCTCTGTCCCTTCTTTCACTTCTTTTATCTTCTTCAGCACATTAAATATGAATTGCTTCAAGGCTTGACAGCCTATGCATGCTTAGTTATTTCTTAGCTTTATTAAGAGGTAGTTGTCGATCTTTTACCAACCTATCAGCTGATGTCCAAGTACTGGCTTTCATTGTTCATTTCTTAACACTTTCAAGAGTGCTTTTTCAAGTTTTCTTGTGTAGTGCTCCTCTCAGTGGAGGGGAACTCCCTGTAGAGATTTGTCTTTCAATTTCCTTATAGTCCTTTTGTGCTGCAATGTCCACAGAAAGCTTGATGCCAGTTAGTTCTCTGATGTGCTGAAACCAATTCTGAGTGTTTTTTGTATTCTCCTACCTATCCATACCCTGTTTTTTGTCTCTTTAAATCTACACTGTGGGCTTTTGGGGACAGACTTACATTTCCTTTGCTGGTTTAGCACCTAGAATGAGAATCCTGGTTCACACCTAGGGTTCCTTGGCATCGCAGTAGTACAAATGCCTCTTGATATCTACCACAAGTTATCTCTTGCACCAGTCCCTGCGAATCTCAAATTATTTCCCTGTTGTTTCTCAGCAACTTTTTTTGTTCTTATTCTAGGACAGCGAGCTCTTTCCAGGCACAGAATCTCACAAAAAGAAGAAGAAGCACTCCTCCGATGAGTACTGCTCCAGAGGTAAGACAGCAGCCAGGCAGCGGGAGGGGCTGGCAGATCATGGCTTTGAGGAAGAGATGCTGTTAAACCAATGTCACCAAACTTTGTGGTTAACACTTTATGGCAGAAAATTCCTTGTCCTAAGACAGATTGGTGTAATCAGAAACCTGGTTCTGATGAGGTTTCTGCTGCACCAGGCAGCAAAAGATAAGGGAATGACGTTTTCAAAGTCTAGCATAAAAATTGACTGTTGTTAGGGCAGGGATCTTCCATGTCCCTTCTCATTAACAAATTTGTTTTCTAACCCATGCCTTCCCTTTTTGCATTTGCATTCTTTTTTTGCTTATTATATTATGAGCTGTAATTTTATTTGCAGAAAATATTAAGTAATTTCTTTGGATTTATAAAAGCAGAATGTGTCGGGTTACACAATGAATGCTTTTGGGTTCAGTTTAAATACAGAAATATTATCCTCACAATGAAAAAGCTGGCCAGGAAATGACAATTAAGCTTATAAAACCTTAATGGGTTTAAGATTTATTTTTGTCCCAGTTCCAAAAGAAGCTACATCTTTAGAATATCTTTATAAGCTGCAATTTTGTCAAAAGTCTGTTTTCAGAATGAAAAAGCTGATGTTCTCAAGTCATTGGTCTCAGCTAAAAGTGTTGTGACAACCTTGCACTTGAGGTGTAATATTTCAGGTTCAGTAAGATGTATTTTCATGAAAATTTGCTGGTTTATGGTAGAATACAAAGTTTGATGAAACTTCAAGAACTTTCCCACCCTGCCTTTCTGCATTAAATATTTTGATCAGCTCTGGTGTTACAACTCCCGATTCATATCCATGAGGACACACCGAGCTGCCTGCAAATTTCAGAGACTTTCTTCTTGAGGCAAGATGCAGACCAATTAGCTGTACTAACAAGTATTGCAAGGTTCCCACTTCGTCTCTTTTGACTAGCGTAGTGCTGTCTTTAAGGGAATCATCTTGATGAACACTTCTCTTGACTTTTTTTCAGATCTCTCATCTTCGGATCCACCATCAAAGAAGAAGAAAAAAACAGTTTCTAGCCCATCCTCGGCTGATAAAAACATGGACGTACTCAAGGCTGTCACCTCGCCTTTGGCCACAAGCTCCAAGTCTTCAAAGAAGACATCTGAAAAATCATCTTATTCTTCCTCTGGCCATTCTGAAAGCAAAAAGGAGCACCACAAGAAGAAATTGAGTGGAAGCAGTGGGGAACACTCAGTGGATGATGGCAGCTACCACAAATCTAAAAAAATGAAACCTCTCTATGTGAACACAGAGACCCTCACTCTTCGTGAACCTGATGGCTTGAAGATGAAGCTTATCCTTTCACCAAAAGAGAAAAGTAGTGCAGCAGATGATGATTCTTTCTCCTACTCCTCAGCAGCAGCAGCTGCAAAGAAATCTTCCAAAAAATCATCTCGAGATGAGCAGGGCTCATTCCATATGGGTCATGAAGTGCAGAGCTTCCAGAAGTCATCCCGGAAGAAGCACAGACCTCCTCCAGACCCACATCCCCCTTCCGAGAGTTTTGGTGCTGACACATCTGTGTTTTCAGAAGGCCATGGGAGTGAGTATGAGACTTCGGGTATGGAGGCACCACCAGAATCTGGTTCCTCTTCTGGTGGGGAGTTGGAGGCTGGGGAGCTAGTGATAGATGACTCCTACCGGGAAATCAAGAAGAAGAAGAAATCCAAAAAAAGTAAGAAAAAAAAAGACAAGGAGAAACACAGAGAGAAGAAGCATTCTAAATCTAAAAAGAGTTCTGGGCACTCTTCTGTGGCAGTAGCAGAAGTAACAGTGTCACCACCACCTCCTTCCAGTACTTCCTATGTTGTTCCTCCATCTCATCCTACTATTTATCACTCAGATGGACAAAGTGAGAAGAGGAGGAAAAGGGAAGAAAAGGAGAAGGAAAAAGCTGAAAAATGGGAAAAGGAAAAAGAAAAGGAAAGAGAAAAGGAAAAGGAACGAGAAAAGGAAAAGGAAAGAGAAAGAGAAAAGGAAAAGGAACAAGAAAAGGAAAGAGAAAGAGAAAAAGAAAGAGAAAAGGAACGAGAAAAGGAAAAGGAAAGAGAAAAGGAACGAGAAAAGGAAAGAGAAAAGGAACGAGAAAGAGAAAAAGAACGAGAAAAAGAAAGAGAAAAGGAAAAGGAACGAGAAAGGGAAAGAGAAAGGGAAAAAGTAAGGAAAAATTGAAGGGGAAATTGAATTTGGGTGATGGGTAATGGTGAATTATGCACTTCATTCCAAAAACTTGCTAAATTGAAGTGTAATTCATATTGACGGTTTCATTGCAGCATGTTTGGTAAAAGTATTTCAGCTACTGTGATTTCTGTTCACAGCAAAAGAAATACAAACCATTGGGTTTTTTTGTGACACAGGCAGTCTTTAGCCAACAAAGGTCCTTTGAAAAGGTTACACGTAATCTGCTTGGTACAGACCATGCCACAACTACATTGTTTTCTAAGGTAATTGGTTCTAACTATTACCAGGTAGAATTTTAGTCTTGTCTGGGAGTCATCTAGTCCATCATCACAGTTTCTGTAAAAAAGGAATTGAACTCTTGGAAGAGTGAAGTTATTCACCCATTTATTCCTGTATTAAGATGAAGATCTAATTTTTACAGACTGCCACATTCCCACTTTTATCCTGTACTCATAAATTCAGGTTTCCACGGTTAATGCTTAGAAGTGCAAGTAGGAAAAATTGTAGCTGGAGTGTGTCTGAGATTTCCAGATAAAATAATTATAGCTATGTAAGTGGATAATAGGGTAAAACGCTTTCTGCCAGATAGACAAGAGTTGCTTTGTAACAGGAAATGGGTGGACGTAGCCCAAATTCGCTCAGGTCTCACTGTGTCCTGTGTGGTAAGTTTTCTCTGATCACAGGTCAGAATTTGCTAATGCTTCTGCTATCCTACATGGTTTGTTTTCCTGCAAATATGAAACGATCTGTAAGGATGTAGGAAATAGAACAAAACATAGATAGGACAAAAACTGAGCTGTTTTGACAGATCCATGGTAGGTACTGTGAATAGTATGACAAGGGGTTTTTTTGTTATTTTAATCAATTTTAAGTTTGAAAACTGAAATATGTGAACAGCATTAAATGTTGATTGTGGATTTAGAATAGCAAAGGTGGTGATTTATGAATGAATTGCATTGATAGAGTTGTTGCAAGATAAGCCTTACGCTAAAACTAATTCTGGCTGGTTCTTGTGCTTTCATACCCACTAAATTTAGCCAGTAAATGTATGTAACATGTGTAAACCTGCTATTTTACCTTCTTGATCTAAGTACATTACCTTTCTTTAAGTCTGATAAATGCAGAATTATTAATGAAATTGAGTAGGTCCCTTTATAACTAAAAGTCTTTGTTTCCTTTTCTTCTGACTAGCCAAAGAAGAAAAACATGTCTGCCTATCAAGTGTTCTGTAAGGAATATCGTACAAATATTGTTTCTGAGCACCCCAGGATAGGTGAGAAAACAATCTAGCCTTCTCTGTTCTTGATTATACATCAGTCTGATTAATCAACAGGATATGCCTTCTCTGTATCATATCAACCTCTTAATTTTTGAGGTAGCAAAAGGACAGAAATGGATTTTGTGATTAGCTTTCATTGTATATTAACCAAGCTGTGAATCTGGATTAAGGAATCTGGATTAAGGAACTGCCTACTCTTCCTTTCTTTTACTTAAAGAGTTGTCTTCTTTGTATCGTTTTTCAGCACGTGTCGTCTCATGGTCTTACATTCCCTGTATCAGGTTGTGGGGTTTTGTTTGTTTGTTTTCTGTTTGTTTGTGGTTTTTTTTTTCTTCATTTTAGACAGTAAGGGAAATGATGCACACTGAAATTCATTTTCTGGACAGTGTAGAGAGTTCCAGTGGTGGGACAGGTTGCTTCCTAAATGTGTATGTGTAGGCCAGTTTTTCACACTGTTGACATTCACATAAATTTCCTATGTTCTCACCACAACTTTATTAGTTAATTTATTTGAAACTTTTATTTCTTCTGCTGTCAGATTTTGGAGACCTGAGTAAAAAGCTAGCAGAAGTGTGGAAGCAGCTCCCTGAGAAGGATAAACTGGTAAGGATGTGTGAGATTATTTTTTTAAAATGATTTTTGTAAACAGTGTGCTTAGGTCAGAACATGCTGACAGTAATTCCACCATACCTTAAAAACTATTACCTCTGTCCCCAAAGTGTGGAAAAGTGTGTTATCTCGCCCTTGTGGTCATAAAAGCATCCATTTTCTTCTCGTGGCATTGCTTCACCACTTAACCATGTAATTTCATTTTGCCTCCAGGTCTTGGCGTCAGGTATGAGAATTAGCTAATGCTGTAAATGTCTCTTTTCATACCATGGTAACTGCAGGTCTGGAAACAGAAAGCTCAGTATCTGCAGCACAAGCAGAATAAAGCAGAAGCCACCACTGTGAAGCGAAAGGCATCGTCTTCAGATGGTGCTCCAAAAATAAAAGGTAATTGTTGCTCTTCATATGCTCTACTTGTTTTGTTTTTTTTTTGGAGTGGAGAAGATGGTATAGACTGTAAAATAATGAACAAAAGTCCTTTCTTGTTTCTCAGTCTTACCTGCTTTTTCACAAGTCTTGACATTTAACTCATCGTATTAGTCAACAACAGTGTTTCTTCAGGAGCAAGAATGGTGTCAGCACTTTACAATAAGATTTCCTTGTCTAATTAGTAAGATGGTATTGGTTTTAGCACTTCAGGGTTTGAAACATAAAGCAAGAAGAGGCAACAGAGAAGTTCTAGGGAGAGTAGCTAGGTGCAAGAGGAAAAAGGGGTGTTTATGGCTTGGCATCTCTGTTTACCAAATCTTCCAAAACTACCAGATTGCAGACAGCTGAGGTACATGCTCTGAAGGCAAGTTCTTTCTCGAAAGACAACAGGAGAAAATACACAGAACTATTTAAGCACCTCACATCTTTGAGATTTGAACTTTAGAAAGTAAATAGACTTAAAAATAAAAGAATGAAAGTGGGATAATATGGAATTTTAATTCATGTATTTACAGCTTCTCCACCAGGAGTGATTTCCCCTCAAAAGAAATCCCCCACCAGCACTGTGGTGTTGCCTTCCTCACCAGCCAAAGCCCCTGAGACTGATCCTATAGATGTAGCTGCGCATTTACAATTGCTGGGCGAATCTCTGAGCCTCATTGGGCACAGACTGCAGGAAACAGAGGTGAGTCTGTAACCAGCAACGTCTCAGTGATGTCATATAATTTACACATAGGATCGGGGAGTTATTATTTTGTTTTACTTAAACAGTTAGACAATGCTTTTCTACTAGGAAGAGAAATTCCAGGTGGTGCAGCGTCATGTTTCTTTGATGCATTGTTGTTTATTTTCAGTGAAACAAAAAGCCTTTTTTCTCAGTAAACAGTAGGCGTCAAAGAAAGACAGGTCCTTCACTTGCAGCTCTGTGTCCTTGAAGGCAATTGTCCTTGTCTCGACAAACTAGTCTTTCCTTACTATATGTTCACCTTGCATCTAGTATTTCCTTGCTGTCTTTGAAATCTGTGGCGCAGTTACACTCTCAAGCCTTCTAAGAAAACAATCAGAGAAGGCCATTACCAAGATGTTTTTGAATGTCCTGTTGTTTTCTGGTGCTATCATGTTCCCAGTGCTTTAAGTAGTGGCTACTGTTGTTTCAACTTACATGGTAATGTAGAAGATGTAATATTTTCCAGTGTTTTTCTAGTGTTACACGGTAATAATTGTGCACACACTCAGAGTTTAGAACTCAGCTTAGCCTGTGAGCAGAACACATATTTGGCTCAAATATCAAATGTCAGTGAATTTTATGGCTAACATGGGCAGCTCATCCCACTACACTTGCTTGTTTTATCAGCAAGAAAATGAATGTTACTGCAGTTCTGCAGTTTCTGGTAGGACCTCATTGAGGTTATTCTTCAAAGGAAAAAATTTGGATTAAAAATCTCTCCCTTTACAGAACAGCACACAAACACATTCAATTTTTGAAGATGTATTGGTAACTAAAGCATTTTTACAGACTTAGTATTTCTTTCGGCTTCAATAATAAAAAAAAGAAAAACATTGCCTGTGGGACTTACGTAATTATAATAGTAGATGTTATGAAATGGCAAGGAAACCATATTGCAAAAATTGTGGAAGTTAAATATAAATTCAACAACTTTCTGACCTTTTATTTTGCTGCCTTTGCTTTTACTACATTTATTATTATTTCTTTGAGCCATCAGTCTTTCTGTGAACTGTTCAGCATAGTTTTGTTGCTGTGTAAATAATGGAAGTGGGCTAGGGTTGCTTAGGGCTGAGGATTCTGCATCTGAGTAAGAATCAATACAGTTGTGAAAGAACTGTATTTTCCAATACTTGTCCCTATAATTCTTTTCTTTCCTTACTTCCAGGGAATGGTGGCTGTTTCAGGAAGTTTGTCAGTACTTCTGGATTCTATCATCTGTGCTTTGGGCCCATTAGCATGTCTGACCACACAACTACCTGAGCTGAATGGCTGCCCTAAGCAAGTTTTGGTGAGTTCCTTGTGGTTATTTTCATTCTAGCCCTGTTAATTTCAGCAGAGTCCAGATAGTTTTCCGATGAATCAATTTTATGATGCAATTATAATTCCAGTGCAATAAGAAAATTGTCTTGGTCATACATTTTTATAGAGGGATAGTTCTTGAAACTCCTTAAGATGTTAACACTGTAGGGTATTGTACAATGTTGTGGTTTGGTTTTTTTTTGTTTTGTTTTCCAGTAGAAACGGATTTAATATTTATTCCATTGGTTGCAGTGTGTGTAGGTCCTGTTTTAGGGACTGAATCGACCCAATCGACTGAATCAAATACAAGCACCTGTACACATACAATTTTTGAAAGTTCTTATTTTCCATAAAAACAGATGCAGCGTCCATGCTCTGTGTTCACACATTGTTTTCTTTTGCAACATAAAAAATAACTTGTGATCTCAGTTAGGATTCCTAATGTGACTGAGTAGAGCCTTTCACGTGTGCAACCTCATCCAAGGAAAGGAAAATAGTCTGTGTTCTAAGGAACTAGATAACTACAGGTTCTTTTCCACTTTAAATTATACTTGTTATTGAGCCCTGATTTAATAAGAGCTTGTGACCTCAATGTGGCATGATGTGGACATAGATTAAGATGGCAGCAGTAGAAAAGGAATCAGAAGTCGTACCTCCAGCAGGGGGTGCAAGTAGGCAGAGGAGAAGAGCAAAAATGAAAAATAAGAATGTAGTCTGCAAACATTAAGAGATTGAAAACCTATCTGAACGAGAGAACAACAGAAATGGGATATGAATTGGCATGTTTTTGTAGGACATCCCAAATATTGATTCATTCTGAGAAATGACTGTTAACAACAGCAGCAAATTTGGCAGCTTAGGCTGTGAGCTCCGGCAAACTGGCTGTCTACACAGAAGCTGAGTCAGCAGGGTGTTCCCATCACAAGCCATGGAAAAACATCCTATGCTTTTCTCCTTGCTTGCCAAGTGCATTCAAAGCAAGTGACACCCCTTTTCCACATGACTAATGGTGCCTATCTTGGAAACTTGATCAACTTATTGTTTGTTACAAGGAGCAACGAAGCTTCAGGTGGATTAAGGCACTCACCATTCACTTCTGAAAACTGGTATCCAGGCTTGATACTAAAGAAACTACTCTAATTTTTACAGTCAGATGTGTAAAAACTGATATTCTAAGACAAAGTTGCCAGTGGTTTTGTTGCATATAGTATGCAATTTATATTTTCAGTCGGTAGGTGGCATTGTTAAATTTTAGAATCACCATCGTTACAGATCAAGCTCCTCTATTTTCAGCAGTTAAAAGGTATTCCTGAGGCCTTCAGCCAGCCAGCCACAGATTTGAGGTTATTGAAATGCTGCATTTGAAGAATGTGCAGATAATATGCTGCTGCCTGTTGTTTTCTGATACACAAAAAAGGGCTCCTAGTCTCAGAAGTTTGTTGCAATGATAGGAAAAACTGGAAGGTACCTCTTTCTGACACCCTACTAGTTGGTGGTTTTGAGGTTTTTTTGCTGATACGCTGCAGAATTTCTTAAAGGGCTTGTGAGTTTAAAGTCAGTTTTGTTGTTGTTGTTGTTCTTACATTCTACAATGTTAATTGCTTTACGTAAGTCCTTTACCACATCTTCCCAGTGGTTGATGAGATATAGCCAATGTGGCTTCTTTCAAATCCAAAGACAGAGATGGGGTTCATTAGGAGGAAGTCACTTGAGGAAAGCCCTGAGCATTTTCTTTATTTCTAGGTGCTTCCAAATACTGAGGCTACCTTTATGTTTAGTTAAGTTTCCAAAAACGTGAAAATAAGCCTAGCAGCGGGGGGCTAGTGGTGATTAGACAGTTTTGTTGTCTCACGATACAGCAACTCCTAAGACGAATGTGTGTAGTACATTGATCGGTCTGTTTTTTTTTTTTTTTTAAGGATTTTGAGTCATTACCTGACATTAAAACATTGAATTTCTTTTCCCAGTCAAACACACTAGACAACATCGCCTACATCATGCCTGGACTTTGATGGGAAAAGATCCTGGGATTTACTCAACTTCCGTGTAACTGACCTGTGCACATATGCACTACACCGGCACTCCCGAAGGACTCTGTGTGTAGGGTTTTAAGTTTTTTTTAACTGTACAGTATATACATAGGATTGTAACTGTCTTATTTTTTGAAAAGTTGTGAAGTTAAGCTGAGAGAACAGATCTTTGCTGGTGGATGAAATGTCATCCAATCTAAAAGTATTTGTATGAAGAATTCAGAAAGGTTCTGAGATACTAGCCTTAAATTAAGATCCTTTAGTGGGGGAAGCAGCCAGAGAACGGATTTTTCAATATTAGGAAGGACACATCACCATGAGAGTAGTCATAGAAACAACCCAGAAAGGTTGTTGAATCTCCATCCTTGTTGATACTTAAATACTGAGTGAGCGGCCTAGTGTAGTTGGACTTTATTTAGAAGCAGGGGGTTGGACAAGATGACCTCCTGATACCCTTCCCAGTGTAAAGTATTCTTGTATTCTATGGGCACGTAGAGAAAGTAATGTAGGTCGGACCAAGAAATAGAATTGAACTCTTCACCAGCCCTATTTCTAATTTTCAGTTTAAAATCTGCTCAAGGGGAAAGCTGGATAGTTGATCAAAGATGCAGAGGGCTTTCCCTCTTGGACACATCTTCTACCCCCCCTCTTCAGTCAGTAATAACTGAAAGTTGTCGGTGTCAGCTCCCTGGTCTGGTAGCTGGCATTTGGCGTGAAGTTGAAGATGACAGAGAATTTAATCTTTTCTTGTGGACTTGCATCCAAATCGTCACTAGCACCGATTTATCGACAGACTTCATTGGCTTGAGGGGATGCACCTCCTGCTGATTTTTCTAGGGCACGGTCAGCCTGCTTTGATGGAGAGGAGAGCGATAGCGGATGGGAAAAACTTGGATCGCTTCTGCCCATCTCGCCCCTTGTTTGTGAACAGACAACCCTGGTTTCTGAGTTTGCTGCTCCCCCACCCCTTTCACCAGCAGTTTTGAAAGAGCCGTGGTGCTGCTGCGAGACGTTGACTAGTGACCAATTTGAAGCCGTTGCAGCCGACCAAGGTACCTGTGAGTGGATGGGACTGATCCCCCTTCTTTCTAGCCACATACTTGGTGTTTGGCTTTCCGTTCCTCTAGAAGAGGAGCTACAGGAGAGCATTTGATTTTCATATAGGCGTTTGTGTGTCTGTATGTATGTGTATGTGGTGTGCATATCGTATGTATTTAACTTTTACTGATATCTGTAACAGATTTTAATTTATCCTGTATATTACTGTGTACATGTATATACGTAATTTAAAAGCGAAAATCCCTGCCTTTACCAGCAGCGTGTGGAAGATTCCAAATCTGCCTCACCACTTCCTGCGGGAGTCAGATGTCTGTGCAGTAGTAAGCATTGGCACTGTATGGGGAAACACCAGAAGGATTTCATGTCTGTAGGAACTGGTTATCTTGAAAAGCTATGTAGAACAGATGAAATATAAGTTGACTTCAGGATATTCAAACTTATTGGATAACAAATGGACAGTGACAGAAGAGTGTTTATTTTTTCTTTGAATTTGAAGTCTAGATTGCCTTTTTCAGGGCAGTTGAGATTGAGCTGACCCTTTTGATGGCTGAACTCTAGTCTTAAAAAATTAAATCCTCAGGTGTGTGGGAGGATGTTTCTCCCCATTCCTCTTTACTGTGTTTTTTCCCCAGCTGTGCCCGTGCAAGGTACTGTCTCTTACAGACCTTTTCTCATTTCAGCGTTAGTTTTTCTCAGTGTTAGTGGAAGAGGCAGAAGCTTCTCACGCCACCACCCACGTTCTCAACCCAAGCCTCAGACCAGAGCATCGGTGTTTTAGCAGCGTGTGAGTAACCCCAGCAAGCCTGGAACTGGAAAGGGCCTGGCAGGGAGGCGATCTGCTCCTGCTTCTCATCCCGGGCACTAGCAAAGGACCCTGCTGCGAAGCAACCAGCCCTCACAGCTGAGGGTAAAAAGGTTTTACAGGAAAAAAACCTTTACGAGGACCAGAGGGAGACCTGCTCCAGCTTTGTGACCTCTACAGCAGAAAACCCTTCCTGGAAGAGCCCCGAGGGTTTTGCCCGCACCTCGCCGCTTTTACACTTCGCGCCCCAGCTCCCGACGGCCCCTTTTTGTACGGCTCCGACAATATATTTTTGTTACACACCCGCAGCGCCTCCCTGCCTTTGTACCGAGCACACGGGAGGAGGGAGGTGTCTGAGGGGGGGGGAGAAGGGGGGGGGCCGGGCCGGGCGGCGTCACGGCGGGGCCCGGCCCGGCGCGGCGGTCACGTGAGCGCTGCAGTCAGCTGACCGCGGCGGCGATGGACTTTCTGCTGGGGAACCCCTTCAGCTCCCCCGTCGGGCAGCGAATCGGTGAGACCCGCGCGGCCCCGTGCCGCCCCGCGCGCGTCTCCCCCCCCCAACCTCTCGCCTCGCCGCCCACCCTCGGTCTGAAGCCCGCCCGCCCGCCGCAGGACCCCTCTTTCCACCGGGAAGCTGTTGCTCCCGCCCCCCCCGCGCTGCCGGCCTATGGGAGGGGTGCTCGGCTCTGAGTGGCAGGCGCTCTGGGCCAATGGGGAGCGCGCGGCCCCAGGAGGCGCCGGCGGCGGCCAATCGCGGCGCGCAGGGGTCTCGAGGTGGCGAGGCGAAGTTTCCGCGCTTAAAGGGGACGGGGTCCGAGCCACGCCCCCCCCCCCCGCGGTGCCCAGCTCCGTGATTGGCTCGCGGCCATTCCCGCCTGCACCTCGCCGGGGGTCTGCGCTGGGAGGGGGGCTGCTGATTGGCTGGGCTCCAGCCGCAGCGGCCAATCAGCGCCTGGGCGGGAAGACCCCCGTGCCCTGCCCGAGGGGGCGGCCATTACGGGGCTGGGGGCTGTGGGGGGCTTGGCGCGGCCATCTTGTGGCACGGCTGGTGGGCACCGTGGGTCTCCCCAAGGGAGGCGGCCAGCCCTGAGCTTCCCACCACGAGGTCTGAGAGAAAGAATAAGGCCACAAACAGCCACGCTGGTCTGGAAAGAGATGTGGTTCTAAAAATGCTTACAATAAAGAAGCCTCTCTTCCCGTGTTGTGTCATCCGAAGTGCCTCCAGGTTGTGCCCGCAGTGATGTTTTCGATACGGGATGTCTCCATCCCATATAATGGCCGTTTGTATGTTTATGCAAATGCCCGCTCTTGCTTTCCGTCCCTTGTGTAGACCTTTGTTCCGTTCCTCCATGAAGCCCCTGATTCATCGCACTCACACGGGTGCTGTGCATGGGGCGGGTAGGGAGCAGCAAAGCAGCTGCTTTAGGAAACGCTTTTTTTTTAAGTGCTGCCTATTTCAGAGGCTCTCACTGACCAAACCAACACCAGGGAAGGTTTTCAGTAAAAAAAAAAGTTCTAAATGATCTGTAATGCCTGCCCAGATGACAGTCACATGTTTCATCACACTTTCCAAGGGAAGCCTTCTCCTGCCCTGTACAGAATGACTCTCTTTGATTCTTCCAGCCAGCGTATCAGATACGTTGTTATGTTTGGGTACAGGCAAACTGAAGTCATCTTTTGGTGTTACGGGTTACTACATGCCCTCCAGATCTTCTGATCGCTATAGTAGTCAGATTGTGAGTGGTTTCCTCACTAGGCTTTACTTCTCTTTAAGGGATTTTCAAGCAACAAACTGACAGCAAAGAAGAGGAAGAAAGTATTTCAAGAGTGTTGTCAAACAGGAGTTTGGAGTCCTCTGTATCAGAGGTGTGACAGTAGGGAAATCTTAATGACTGGCGTTGATTGGGGTTATTGGAGTCCAATGGGGTGGAGGACCTGCAGCGTACGAGAAAGCAACTGGGGTGTGGAGGACTAAAAAGGGCTGATGGCTGTAAATATGAATGTTTTCTCCTTTTGAACATCGCCTAACATCCCAGGGATGTGGATAAATGCTATCTTCTCTATCTAATTTGAGACGTGAACATGACTTAATCAAGTTGTTTAGTAGGTCTGTGGCAGCTGCATAGTGAACCCGTGAGTCTGAGCACCAAACCTACACAGTGCTGCTGCTGCAGGCTGTCTGCAGAAAGCTGATACGACATCATGGTAAATTACTTGGGCAAAGTCGTATGTGTCTGATACAGCTTATAAAGTCTAAAACAGCTTTAGATGAAGGCTATAGAATAAAAAATATAAACAAATAAAAATAAAAAAACCCTCTGTGGCACATTGCAGTGATGTTTTCAAATTCCTTCGTTAATGAGAATGTAGTAAATCCCACTTATTTTGCTGTCAGGGAAATGGATATTCAAATAATCAAAGTGGATACTCAGATAATCTCCGTGATTATGAGTCAGTTGCAGAGGAGTGAGTTTACACCTTCTTACTCCCAGTCTTGAGATATAGTCATGGAATTTGCCTTTGCCCTATTTTCAGGCCACAACGTCTCTTCCTAAGTAAGATGAATACAGACATTTAATTGAAATAAAATATTTCTGACCAATGGAGAAACTTTCAGAGTGCTGAAGCATTGTAGTTTGGATTTTACCCTTGAAAGGGTAACCCACTTGGCCTCTATCTAGGAGCTAAAAGAAAAATGGAAATGAGGTAAATGGAGCTAAATAAAAAATGGAAAATCTAATTTCAAGGAGGTGCTCTAGTAGTAACAAGGTGGAGTGAGAGAATGGAGAGGAAACCACCAGTGCTCTCTCCTGAACCCTGAAGCCTAGAATAGCTAGTAATTATAGCAGTACTGGAAGGGACAGAGAGAGGTTATTTTAGTGAGTGAAGCCAGGCAAGGGAGAGAAGTGAAGGTGTAGTACAGAGATGGAGAGGAGTTTTTGCTCTTGGGGAGTGGTTAAGCATGAGAACCAGGGAAAGCTGAGACTGGAAAGAGGCAGCAGGTGAAAGCAGATTGCCTGTGCTCATGGGTGAGGGAGAGGAGCAGATAAAACACTGTGCCAGAAAAATCCCCACAGCCATTTGGGTCCCACCTTGCAGATGTCCCTGCACCCTTCTGTGAGCAAGTTGTCTCCTCCGTCTTTGGAGAAGTACAGCAGGGCTGAATGGTGGAATCCCAGCTGAGCTGGTGCTAAAGTTTCCTTGTGGAAAGTGAAAGCATGAGGCTTAGCAAGGCAACTGTGCTGGATGCCGATTTAGGCCAGGATGCTGAATTGGGCCAATTCATTGTTACAGATTGAAGGGAGGTTGGGAGAAAGGACTGTTGCATTACTTTCTGCTGAACCTATGCTGTCTTGTGCAATAAAATGCAGGTGCCCTCAAACACCTATTGAAATTGGTGAGAAAGTGCCTGATGCTTTGCCAAGGAATTTTAAGCCATTAGGACAGAGTGCTGAAGGCATCCTGGTTAAGGGCCTGACTTGGAGCAGGGCACTGGTCTCTGACGAGCTGCAGTGGAGCATGCCAGAGGATATGGCCTTAAGTTACCCTAGGGGAAGTTTAGGTTGGATATTAGGAAAAATTTCTTCACCAAACGGGTTGTGAAGTATTGGAGCAGGCTGCCCAGGGAAGTGGTTGAGTCACCATCCCTGGAGGTCTTCAAAAATCGTGTAGTTGTAGAGCTTAGGGACATGGTTTAATGGTGAACTTGGCAGTGCTAGGTTAACATGTGGACTGGATGATCTCAGAGGTCCTTTCCAACCTAAATGATTCTGTGAAAGGTTTCTGAATGCTGCTTGGCTGGTTATGGATGCTTCAGACCTTTGAAGGAGCGCAAAGGGAGGTGGAGCTGGCTTAGTATCTCTCCCGGGAATGGGTGGGATTGCCAGCTCGGCACTGGGCTCTCCCTGCCAAGAGGGAAGAGGCAGGAGGTTTGTAAAGGAACAAAGCCACAAACTTCATCCGTGGCACAAAGCAAGGTACAGCTCCGGTGTACCAGTTATGCCGAGTTCAGAATAGTTTCTTATCTCACGGCTCCAGATAACTTTTATGACTTAATCACAGTCAGCAGGAGTGCATCAGATGCCGGGAAGAAAGAGCCATCGCTTTGCTTCGCTCTGACCCCGTACCACAGCCCTCAGCGGCTCGGGGTTGAGGCGAGCAATTAGCGAGGCAGCACGCTGCAAGCAGACAAACCCTGGCGCTGTCACACCCGGGAAGCCAGCCTGGCTGCCAAAACAACATGGCTTTGAGGCGGGCCCATGGAGGGCTTCTTGCACGCAGTGTGGTCCACAGCCAACTGGTGTCGGGCTTTGAAGAATACGGCATTGATACACCGCCGATAACCTCCCTCACAGGCATACCCCGCAGCAGGTCGGGATCAGCTCGCCACACGCAGAAGCTGCCTGATAAGCCCTGCCAGGCAGTGCTGGGCGGGCAGCCATTCCCTGCCTCCTGTCCTCGCTGTTTTTAGGGACTTGTCGGCATCCCCGGGCTCATATTTCATGAGGGGCAGACGGCTCATGTGCAAATTACAGCTCGTGAAACAGGGCCCGCCGTCCTGATCCTTCATGTTGCTAATGAGTAGACTTTGTTTCCTTCCCAACCGCAGGCTTTAGCAAAAGGGCAAAGTTCAGGATTTTCAGGGAAAACTCCAGCATATACAAGGCTTGGGCAGCCTCTTAGTGCTTAGAAGCGAGGAGGATTTAGAGGGCATTAGCTCCAGCCTTCCCAAGGCCAGATAGGCCAGGCCTTAATCTCTGCTGGTAAATTCAAGTGCTTTGTCCTTGGAGATGTCGTGTGGTCGTGTTCCTGTTTTCCATATGCCCTAATTCTGCTCTTCCACCTCCGTATTTTCTGGTTGCATTTAGGGCAGCTGCTCTCCTCCTGCAGCTTTTCGCCGACCGCTGTCAGAAGGGAGGTGAGGGTGGCGGGATCACAGCACCGCTGTGGGGTGGCTGTGGGGCTGTGTGTCACCTCTGAGGAATCCCCACGTTCCCGTACAGGCCGGCCAGGTGAGGGAGCACACACGGTTTGTTTGCATTCCTTTCTGGAAAGCAAACCTGCTCCCCAGCCTTGGCAGGAGGAGCACATTTGGAAGGAAAAAGAGGGCAGGGGAGCGGGTTGCAGAGTAGCATCGAGCACAGGGAAGTGCGTTTGCAGTCTGTTCACACTCATGTAGGGCAAAAAAGAGTATGAGGGGGGTTGGGGAGGTTTTTGAACAGCAAAGATTTGAAGGTTAAATTCTGTTACCATTTCGTCCCTGGTTTCTTCTGTAGCTTGGACCTTCCTTTAGGCTGAACCCAGT